TAGTATTTCCCCACTGAAAGCCCCTTGCCTGGGGAAATTTTTCCCAGTACTCTCTTTACTTCAAGTAATAAGCCCTCCTCCTCCTCCTCCTCCTCCTCTCTCTCTCTCTCTCTCTCTCTCTCTCTCTCTCTCTTTCTCTCTCTCTCTGGTTTTTTTGGTGCACTATTAAAGATCAGTACCAGGGGCTCTCTATCACAGGGTTACATTTTGATTTCTTATTTTGTGACAAGGACTCACTAAGTTGCCCAGGCTATCTTGGAACTTGCCATCCTCCTTCTTCAGCCTCCCAAGTATCTAGGATTATAAGCCAATTTCCAATTTAAGTGGCATTGGAAGCAGGCAGGAAGATCACATACTCAAGACCAGCCTAGGAAACTGAGACCCCCTTTTTATCTCAGAATTAAAAAGGGCTAGGAATATAACTCAGCATCAAAGTCCTGGGTTCCATCCCAAATACTGCAGAAAAAGAAAAAACAAAGCTCTAGTACAGTGCCTGGCATATAGTATTTTTTTAAATAAATGTTATTTCTCTTTCTAACTTGCTCCCTGTGTGATTATGTACAGTATTAAGTTCATTCTCTCACACACACACATCTGAAATTAGCATGCAGCAAATATACCTGTATCTTCAGCATAAGAATAGGGAGACAGCAAATAAAAGGGAGACAGGAATAATTACATTAGGTAATTATTCCTAGTGCTCCTTACTTGCTGCAAATAATGACCCTCTTTTTCAAACCCTAGTTGCGCTTCTCAGCTTTGTACTCAACAAGCAGTGAACCATTGCATTGCTGTAATATGTTGAAATTCTTATCCTCAAGGTAGCAGTATTAGGTGGCAAAACTTTGGGACTTGATTAGGTCATAGGTACAGAGGCTTCATAAACTGGACTAATGAATGTCCTTACAAAATAGGCCTGAAAAAAAGAAAAAGGCCTGAGTAAATATCCCTTGTCTCTTTGTTGTGTCTCTGGTTGGGTCTGGGGTCACCAGCACAGCATTGAATTTTCTGTCATCTCTCTCACCAACATAGAAAGAGGAGTGGGAAGACAGTGCAAGCAAGAGGAAAGTTTATTTACAGAAGGAAGAGAGGAGGAGGTGCAAAGCTACTCTAAGGAGTGCATGCCGCAGAGCTGGGTAACTATTGAGGATGGACAGCAATCCTGTATTTATGGGAGTGAGGGGGTGGTCCTTCCCTTTGGGGCAGCTCCACCCAATCAGTTGGGTCTGTCCTATTGCTAAGGGTTTGGGTTTTAGTTTGAGTCCAGTATTGCAACAACTAGGGTAGAAAATGTTACAAAAGTGC